TTTATTTTCTCTCCTTACATTACTCACTGGTACTCCCTTTATTGAGTATTAGTGGAAGGAGTGGACATCCTTGCCTATTCCCAACCTTGGTAGGAAAGCATTCAGTCTTTCACCAGTAAGTCTGGCGGTAACTGTGTTTTTGTGGATGTTCTTCATCAAGTTGAAGAAGTTAACTTCTATCCCTACTTTCTGAGAGTAAGGGGACTGAATTTTGTCAAGTACTTTTCCTACATCGATAGATAGGATTATGTGATTTTTTTTTCTCTTTTAGCCTGTTAATATGATGAATTACATTTACTGATTGTTGAATATTAAGTCAGCTTTGCATCCCTGGAATAAATCCCACTTGCATGGTATATAATTCTTTTACAAATTGCCAAGTTCTGTTTGCTAATGTTTTGTTTTGTTTCTACAGCCACAAGAAACACTGTTTTCTTTCTTTTATTTTTGTACTGTCTTTGGGATTTCTACCAGAGTAATACTGGCTTCATAAAATGAATGGGAAGGTTTTCTCTCTGTTTGCTGGAAGAGACTGGTGTCAATTCTTTTGTACATGTATGATAGAATTCTCTAACTTTTGAAAAATATTGACTCTGGAAAATCAATCTGGGGTAAATAACTCTGAATCTTGTGGGGGGGGCTTGAAAACAGGTCTTTTTTAGATGTGATACATATACACAATGGAATATTACTTGGCAATCAAAAAAGATAAACTCATGTCTTTTGCAGCAACATGGGTGTAGTTGGGAGGGATCACACTTGGTGAAATAAGCCAGAATTAAAAAGAAAAATACTGGATGGTTTCACTCATAGCAGGAGCATAAGGGATCAGGAGTGAAAAAGAGAGAAAGACAAACAAATATAATAGAGTAAAAATGAAAACAATGAACAACTATAAACCAGACATTTTATGGGGGTTGGAGGGGGAATGGGATCGAAACTGGGGTGGGAAGAGTCCACTGGACTGTGGTGATGGCAACGGGTGAATTGGTGGTGGGAAGCCCAAGGGGATTACAACTGAGATGAAAAAATGCACAAAATGAAGAGTGATGTAAAAAATAAATAAATAAATAAATAATTACCAGCATTTTAAAAAGTAGGTCTTTTTCAAAAGCTCCTCAGATAAACTTGTAAGAATTAATGAATGTGCAGCCAGCTATGGTAGTAGGCTCCTGAGGCAAACACAGAAAGGTGAAGTGAGGCTTAAGCCATCTGAAGAATGACATGAATTAAACAGCTTGGGACTTGGAGAATTTGGCTCTCTGTGGGCTTCAGGACCCATGAGCCTCTGACAGCTTCAGGACCACATGGTGCAGTGAGGACATCGGTCATACAAGACACCTGGGTTTCACTTGGCTACTTAGCAGCCATAAATTCCCTAGCAGTTGCAGCTTTCACAATTCCTTAGCAATTTCTGCTTCCTCGTTTGTAAAATACCACTCCCTGTGTTATTTCCAGAGAGATATCAGACAGTAAATAGAGGAGAAAGCCTTAGAACCCACACAGTCTTTAGGGGAAGTAAACATCGGTGTTTGGGGGGCTGCAGCTTCACCCTTATCTGTCTGTGTGTCATGATGCCCACTGATTCCCACTGGGATCCCAGATGGCTCTGGAACTGCAGAGAAACTTCCACCTCACCCCAGCTCCCTTATTCTACCCAAGATGTTTGGGCTCTGATGGGAAGGGGTGGGACCTAGGTGACCTTGAAAAGGAACTTTGACCATGACCATTGTGCCCCCCCCCGTCACCCTCCACAGGAACATGCTTGCCAATTCAGCCAGCGTGCGGATTCTCATCAAGGGAGGCAAGGTGGTGAACGATGACTGTACCCACGAGGCTGATGTCTACATTGAAAATGGCATCATTCAGCAGGTGGGCCGGGAGCTCATGATCCCCGGAGGGGCCAAGGTGATCGATGCCACCGGGAAGCTGGTGATCCCTGGAGGCATTGACACCAGCACCCACTTCCACCAGACCTTCATGAACGCCACATGTGTCGACGACTTCTACCACGGGACCAAGGTAATGCCATTGGCTGAGTGCCTGCTCCTTCAGCTTGCTTCTGGGCCTTCTCTATAGACCCGCATGCTCCCACTGAGTGGCTAAAAGTGAAGGGTGCTCTTGAGGGGGCCCTGGCAACCAAACAGGGAATTCCTGGTGGAACATCATAGGTTTCCGTGGTTGTGGGAAAGGAGGCATTTAGACTTACTTTGCTGATCATAGCACTTATCCACGCACCCTGGCTCGGTGTTTGGTGTTGTTGTTTTTAATATTTTTATGTCATGTAATGCAGGCCTAGAGGAGGAAGAGAATTAACTGGTGGGGTTTGTGCACATGCGCACCTGTGTGTGTGTATGGTGGGAGGGATTGGTCTGATGATGAAGTGGACTCCTTTATATATGCTAAGCTGAATCAACTTCCCAAAGATGGTGAAATATATATATCTGCCTCTTTTAGATGATTTTAATGGTAGAAATTATGAAACAGACAGGGCTTGCTGTCTTCTCTTAGCTTTACTAGATTGTTCTTTAAAAAAAAATTTTATGGATGTAATTCGCACATCATACTACTCACTTAAAAGTGTGGAAGTCAGTGTTTTTCCTGTATCTACCATAGATTGGTTTTTGCTGTTTAGTAAGTGAAATCAAGCACATTGGGCCCTGGGCTTGGCTTCTTTTGTTCTCTTGTCCAACATTATTGTGAAATTTACCCAGGTTGCTCTTCCTTCACCTGTATGGCTCTGTGGTGTTGACAGTGTGACATACCACAGTACTGACCTGTTTTTCTACTGGGGGCTGTTGGGGGCTGCTGCATTCTGCTGCACATGACCCAGTCTATGTCTACTGGGACCCTGAATGTGCACATTTCTGTGGGCAGATTCCCAGGAGTGGAATTGCTGGGCCTAGGGTGCACATGAATTCAGTCTGAGGAGACTGCCAAATGCTTCTCCAAAGGGTTTAACAGCTCTCAGTCCCAGCATTAGTCTAAGAGAGGCTCCACTTTTTACCGTCAGCAGAAACCTGATGACAACACCATCCAAGCTGGGGTTCATCCTCAGGTGGGGTGCCAGAAATGTAGCTTGCTGGTTACTGTCTCCACTGAGAGACCTTTAGTCTAGGGCTGACCATCAGTCTGTCCCACCGCTGCCTGCCAGCCTCTCCAAGGGCTGAATGGGCTTCTTTGTCTTATTTTCCATCTTGTCATCTGCTGGGGCCTCATTCGCCAGCAGTGACCAGTTCCTCACCCCAACCCTGACAGCCTTTGGCTTATTATAGCTAATGAAGACTTTGAACAAGCCTCTTTGAGCAAAGCAGTACCCACCACCTGGTCTGTGCCAGGCTTCTCCATGAAAGCGCCTGCCCCAGGAGAACACATAGAGCCCTGTGTGATTCATGGTCTCCACTCTCCCAGCTTCTCCTGCAGGCTCAAGCTAACTTAGGCACCCCCAAGACATGCTAGGCCCTTGATGTGGGAGCCATCATCAATGGTGCTCATAGGTCCCAAGTCCCTCTTGCTGCTGGCTCACTTAAACTGACCCTTGTTATGTCCATCCCCTGAACGGGTTGGGTCCTTGTGTCCAGCTATGGTATGAGCCCTGGTTTCATAATGCAGCCCCTGGATCCAGGGGTCCCCTGGAACCCTTCAATGTACCCTGCCCAGAGCCCTACCTCAGACCTCCCCACCTCCACACCTCCCCAAAACTGGCTCCCTGCCCTGTACCACTGTACCCAATGGTTCCTGGGATTCCTTCTAGTTGGTGCTTCTGCAGCTGGGACCTGGCCTCCTCCTCCCTCCCGCTGCTGACCTCCTTGGGGGGGCAAGCACTCCTGTTGCAGGGCCTGTGGACTGATTATTCCAGGCCGAGGCAGTCCTGCAGGGGCTGTGCTCTCTGACAGATGCCTCTGACCTACTTTGTACCTTCTAAGAAAGGTAGCAGTTGATTCATTGTAAGCATCTGGTTTGTAATAGAATAATAATCCCAAGGAAAAGCTCAACCAAGCGATTAGCCTAGAGAGAAAGAGAGATCAAGTTGCACCTTTTTGTTCTTGTCTGACAGATCTGCTGGGCCTTGAACTCCGCTTCCCTTGGCTATTGCTTGCTTGTCAATGTGGCAGCAGCAGCCAGGGCTGGAAAAACAAAACCGATGAAAGCCCGGCCTTTCTGAGAGCATCTGGGTCTCCATTGTCCTGGGTCTAAGGGGATTTCTCCAGCGCTTCTTTAACAAAAGCCTCGTGGGCTTTGCCTCCGTCTGAGGCTGTGGCAGGCTCTGCCTGGCTCCTCGGCTCTGAATCCCATGCACAGCCCGGTCACCTGACCCTCCTCCTGGCCTCCCCCACACCCGCCCAACCTGCACAGCCTGCTCTCTGCAGACCCAAAATGTGGGTTTCTGGAGGTGCCGGGACTCCCTGCTGTTAGTAATGCAGACCCCACAGAAGAAGGAGGTTACCTCCTGGGGGGATAGGGGAGTGGGAGGGAGAACCAGTAACACCCAATTGTGTCATTTAATGAGGTCTAGGATTTCCACTGGGTCCTGGAGTCTTTCACTATTATTCTGCTAAGCTTACCTATTTGTTGTGTTTATTTTTTCTGCTGTAACTAATGTTACATAATGCAGAATGTTACTGCAGGCTCTAGAGCTCTACCCACCAATAGCTCTCCATGGCTAGTTGGGAATATCAGAGTCAGATTTTTAAGCTACCACCACTACCCCCTCTCTTAAGATATTGAGAAGAGGTGGCACGGGGCCCCACCCTGGTGGTGCAACAGGTTAAAGCGCAGCACTGTGACGCTAGCAGCAACCACTTCAGCACAAGTTCGATCCCCGGCCAGGTTGCTGGCCCGCATGGCGCTGCAGACCTCTCCTGACCCACCCGCTGCTCCCATCAGCAATGTACTTCGTCACTCTGCCTGTTCTGCTCCCCACTCTGTCTCGGGTGAATCCTCTCATTGCCCCTACACCTCTGGCCTGTACCCCAGTTATGTATGTATAAATAATCTTAAAAAAAAAAAAAAAAAAGAGGAGACGGCATGGACTATGGAAGAAAGTGTCTTAGATACCTTTTTGCCACCATCTCCTCCACCGTCTAGGCTAATGGTCTTCAACACTTGGAGCCAAATTACCTGAGAACTACTTGGGGAATAAATATCTTAAGACACCAAGGTCCAGGCCTCACCCCAGACCAAAGAAATCAAAATCCCTAGATCTGCCTCTTCCCCCATCAGTAACTTATAAAGGATTCCTAATGATTCTAACAGGTTATGAGAGAACTTTCTAGGCTGTTTTGAGTGGTATGGGATCTTGGCTATTCCTCCTTCCAGGCTGACATCTGCACCCCCTTTGAAAGGCTGCCCTTGCCAGTTTTTGCTGTTTTGTCTTGGAAATTAGCTCTCTTGGCATTACACCTCTAAATGTAAACTACTCTTTCCCCCCAGTATTCTGTTCATTTCTGTCTAATTCTGGCCAGACTGTCTTTCTGCTCTGCAATACCACTTCCTCCTCACGAGGATCCAAACTCATATCTTCTTTCTTATCGTATGGCACCCCCCAGTTCACGAATATCTTCATTCCTGCACAACATTGGGTGGGATGAATGGGTGCTCCAAGTCCCAAGAGCAAGCTTCCAGTTTGAGGCCCTTTCGCCTCACTGCCGAGACCCCTGAAGCCTTCTATCTGGACAGTCCACCTTTTCCTGACAGCCTGTGATCATGGGTGGCACACACCGTTCCTTTGACACTCTGGGACCATGAGCTCACCTGGACTTGATAAAGGCTGTGGGAACTGATGTGTACCAGGCAGCAGCGAGGCGGGCCTCAGACACTGACCTCTAAGGCTCCACCCATCTGGCAAGCCCAAGCCTCAGAGCTCAGTGGTTATGGCCACTTATAAAAGGGTGCCACTGTGCCTCTAACAGAACCTATCCAGGCTACAGACTCCATTGTACAGCTGGGCCCTGGGGGTGGGGCCACATACAGGTAACGTGGCCAGCTAGAGCCATCTGACCCTGTACACCTCCATGCCACCTCCACGCCACTGATTTGCTTCAACTACTTAAATCCCTTTAAGGCTCTGTATTTACACTGTTTTCATTGGTTTCCCTTCACAGCTCTCTGTGCCTCATGTCATGTGTCTGCTTGAAATTTGTGTCTAAGACCTCTTCAGATTTCTAGATCTTCTCCCAGGCAACACCCATCTGACCTCACCCTCCCCTTCCAATCCTCCTTCCCAGCTGCTCTCCAACATTGCCCACCCAGTGGGAAGAGGGTTTTCTCATCCCCCTAGCCTGGGGACCATCCCACGTCCCCACCTGCCAGCCCCCTCACCTATCCACATATCCCTTCAAGGCCTGCCTCTCCTGTGACATGCTCTTCTTCAGCAAACTCAGTGTCGGGGACCCAATTCCTATTCACCAGCTGAAAGAGTGTCCCACTCTTGGGCTTTCAGGTTGTTTCCTGTGTAGAGCTGTGTCAGCTAGAGTAAAGGGACCACCGTGCTCCACACAGCTGGGCGGTGATGATGACACACGCTGAGGTGTGAGGGTATCACCACACTTCCAAGCTATGTGATGTGGACCAGTCTCTCTGGCCCTCGGTATCTCTTTTTCTGGAAAATGGATATTATAGTTGGACTTCGTATGCTAATTTAGTTACTATTTGTAAATAACTTAAAATAGTACTTGTGCCTACTAAGCACAAGATAAGTGTTTGTTAAATAAAGAGATTGTGCTGATTAAGGGCCAACCGCTAGAACGCGCATATTAAAGAGTTAGGTGTTGAATAGGCGCTAAGTGAGTTGGATTCCATTTCTGCTGTTAAGAGTTGACTGTGCATGTTTTCGACAGCTCTATACAGAGAACAGGGAGCAGAACAGGCAATGGAGTCTAATAGTAATGGTAATCATTCTAGATTATTTTCTCTTTTCTGGTTTTTAAAAGCAAAAATAGCCAGTCATATACTCTACAAGCATCAGGAGCTATTTAAAGATGTCCTGCTTCGAGTCAGTTATCTTGGTTAACAAAACCTTG